ACGATGGAGGACATCTCACTCTTGGATCTGCAGTGAGGTGAGGTGAATGAGAGGTGAAGGTGCTGTGGGCCAGAGGTGGTCCACGGTAGAGTGCTTGCCTGGCATGTGTAAGGCCCTGGGTTCCATCCCCTGCACCACATCAAAATAAAACAAGGCTGCATAGACAGTTGCTGTCTCCTTTGATGGCCAGGACTCCTGCTGAACAAGAACTGGTGGGCTACCTCATAACCCCTGTTTACAGATAGAATGAAAGCAGGCCACCTATGCAGGGCCTAGGAGGGGCCCAAAGCCTCTGGCAGAACCAGGTCTCCAGTGCCTGCGCCTGTCCCTCCCCTGCACCTTATTGGCCTTCATTCCAGAACTGAAGTCCCTGCAATCTGAACAGGAAACTTGGGAAGGCCCTGCACAAAATAGGGATAGTGAGTCTGGTCTGATCAGAAGCTCGAGGTTGCCATCTCTGTCGATGAGAGAGATCATGCATAATGGAACATGAGCATGATTAAGGACATATTCTTTCCAAAGGGCAGTGTCCCCACTGCACACAGAGTCCAACCCGGCTTTCTGAGCTATCACAGGTGCCCTGAGAGAAGAAAATAAGGAGAGAGGAGATGCAACAAAGGCTTGCAGGATGCCATGGCCTCTAGGATGTAGAAGGAGCTGGCGAAACGTTCCTTGGAAAACAGAGCCTACGTTCTCAAGCCCAGGAGAGCTACTGAGGGTGCCCTGTGGATTTTCATTCACCTTATGTTATTCATCACAAGTGGAATGTTCAGCAACTTAGTGTTACTAAAGAAAAACATCCACAAGTCCTGGGCCCAGGCTGGTGAGTCTGGTCTGATCAGAAGCTCGAGGTTGCCATCTCTGTCGATGAGAGAGATCATGCTGGCCAGCAGAGGAGTGACTGCGCTTTGGACCCGCTTCCAAAGGGTATGCCTGCAGCAGAGTGGGACAGGGGATAGGGGACAGTGGCTCAGTATCACAGCCAGTGCTGTTCTTGACACCTCCTTCCTCAAGCCATCTAGCTTACAAGCCAGGGCTGCAAATTGAAGTTTCTATCACTTTTAAGTACAAGAGATTCACAAATGCAATTGTCTTAAGATTAGTTAGCAGGACTGGATAGAACTTAATTCTACATCTAATAACAGTAACTAGTGCCTTGAAAAGGTGAAGAAATATTTGCTGCATTTTCATATATTTTTTTTTCAGAACAAGCCTACTAGGTTCTATAAACAAATCAAATAAAGACCAACTTCACTAAAAAAATTAAATGAATATTTTAAGAAAAAAAAGTAGCTATAGATAAAATATAATAAAGATGAAGAGATCAAACTAAATTTGATACAAAGTTAAATAAGAAAACATGTTTATCTAGAATTCGGCTTTTCTTATAGGTGTTTCTGTAACTAACCCTGAGTACTTTAGACTGACAGTGCTTAATTGGTTGAATTAACCACATCTCACGTTCATGCTAAAATGATATATTTTTTACTTATGATAAAAGACAAGAATTAATAAATATTTGTTTTGGGGGAAAAAAGTGAAGCCATTGTAGGGAATTTTTTTTCTGTATATATAGTACACAGGATTCTAGAGATAATTTAAAAACATCTACTGAGAAAAAAAAAAATCCCATTAGGCAAGGACAATGACCTTGACTTTAGACCCCAGACTAGAACACACACAAAGGATGTGGTGGAGGCAGTGAAAAGGGCCCTGGGCCAGAGCAGCTGAGAGCCCTGAAAAGTGCTCCAGAGTAACACAGTCACCGCAGAGGGTCTCCAAGAGACCAAATTTGAAACAACTTGAGAATCAAAAAAATGAAGGCAACAGGCTACATAACATGATGAACTAAAAACCAGAGGACTCCTGGCATAAAGGACTCCAAGGAGGCTGGCTATCTAGCCCCAAGGGTATGTGACATTAAGTCCCGGACACACAGTGCTGGTGAACTGTCATGACATCCTGCCAGCCTCAGAAATGAGCATTGAGGGTACCATGCAAACAGGTCCAGTTGTTCTTGGGTGTTGCTGGTGACCATGGGGAAGAAACTGGTCTCAGGTGCTGTGGAGACCATGGGGCAGTGAAAAGGGAGGCTGGCAAACCCAGCAAGGCCAGAGCAACAGTGGCAAAGGGGCGATGGGACATGGCTTGGACATGTGCTAGGAAAGGGAAACAGACCATTCAGGGAGACAAAAGCCATGTTCAGTTTCTGGGCTCACAAACTTCCTTCAGACAATGTAACTAGGAAAGAAGTCAAGGAGCACTGCAGAGAGAACTTGAAACAGAAAACTTCCTGTGGTGAGGAAGCCAGCACCCATGGGCCCTGGCCTCCCAGGACTCTGCCATCGCCCACATTCCCCCTGTGGGCCACGTGGGGCAGCAGGCCTGGAGCCAGGGGGTCAGAAGGGCAGAGCTGGAGGGACTTGGAGAACCTCAGTGGCCTAAGATCATCCTGCCAACAGGTGGTTTCAGACCCTCAGACCTCCATCTGAGACCCTGAGCAACCCTCCTGTCCCCATAGCACAGGCTCCTCAAAGGTTGTCTCAAGTCTGAAGAAAAGGGTCATGGTATTATAGAAAAAGGATCACGGATAATAAATGACACTCCTGGGTCCTATTTTTATACTTGCTGTTACTTGAAGCTGTAGGGATGGGAAGATAATTTCTGTTACTTCCCTGCACATCACCATCTCAATTTTAATAACCTTGAATGGCAAACCTGGCTTTGGTTTATGACATGCTGGCAAACATCCTGAGAACAATTTTTTTTTTAAGTTTTCTATTATGAAAAAAGTTAAGGACACAAAAGCAGAGAAAGGAGGAGAACCATCCCAGTGAGCACCATTCAGGTGGCCAACAATCCACCAAGACCAACATCCAGGTGGCCAATAAACACCCCAGGACCACCACCTGCATGGCCAATAACCCACACATGCCCACCATCCAGGTCTGTTTTGGCCTCTTGGAGCAAAAACATAGTTCTGCCCCCCCACATAGGTGGAGAAAGAAACACCTGGTGTGCTCCTTCCCCTGGGATGGTATAGTAGGTCCCTGCACTGCCTGCTGCTTGCAGTACCTGAAGGTGCCGGCCTCCTGGAGCGCATCCTGGTTCGCAG